CAAGGCAAAACAAATGACATTTCATTTTCTGGTTGTATCTTCAATAATGGATGTTATACTTGCATGTTTAGATGTTGTTATTATCCCTTGAGAGTTGAGGTTTCTTGAAAACTTAAATTATTGTATTACCTACCTATTTGATTTCCTTGTTTTCAGGTATCAGCACATCATTCTCATAAAGGAAAGAGAAACTATGATCCTTCTACAAAAGGCTCTAATATTACATAAAACTGTCACTAGAATTCTTGTATGATGATATATCTGTACATTTATGGCTTATTTGACATTGATTCAGTTGTAAATTGGAATTTTACAAAAAGTTGAGTTTGCAGCTTTCTTATGCTGTGTTTACCTGTTGATGGTTTAAGGTATCTAGGGCTATTGGTCACGCAAACATGAAGGAGCTAGAGCCCCCCATCCCTGGACTTAATGCTCGACCTCTTCTAACAGCAGAACCATCAATGCTGACGAGGGTTTTGCAACCCAGTGATAGGTTTGTCATATTTGCATCTGATGGGCTTTGGGACTTTTTGACAAAGGAGCAGGCTGTTCGTATTGTGAATAAACACCCGCACAAAGTATGTATTTTTATTTATTTATGCCTTTACCATATTTTTTCCTTAACAATTTTTGTTGATTCACTCACCTTTCCTCTGTGTGTGTGTGTGTGTGTTTTTTTTTTTAATTATTGTTAGGCGATTGCTAAAAGACTTGTCAAGATAGCTTTAATAAAGGCAGCGAAGAGGAGGCAGAAGAGCTTTGATCATCTTATGAGTGTTCCAAGAGGCCGGGAGAGGCAGTCTTTCCATGGTGATATCACAGTTGTTGTCATCTTTATCGAACCTAAATTGCTGGAAATTGAGCAAGATGTCTCAATGGCACAGTTTTCTGTTGGTGCATTTAGCAAACAGGCTGGACTATCACAATTTAACACAAAGTTATATAGTAAAGTTGGTCCAAGTATAAGTCAACCATTTGAAGGGACAAGTTCAAGTTCAAGTCCAGAGGATGAGGATATGAGTCCAAGTCCACCATTTGAAGAGACTGTTTCGAGGGAACCATCTTTCAGATTTTGGGATAAGTCCTCCGACTGACGAAGCAACAGCAAGTCACCCAGACATGCTTTGTGGAATTGCAGAAACCACGTTCAACAAGCTTTTATTGATACCAACTTCATATTTGCAACGGCTTTTAATTGTGATTTTTGTTACCTGCATAAAAACAGTGAGGCTTCTTGTTGGCTGATAAACTTTGAGTACTCTTATTCTGTAATAAGTACTTTGATTTGATCTCTGACTACACTCAATCATGATCACCTCATAGCTAGCAGCTGTGAGTTTTCTTTCTCAA